AAAGACATTTCGAAAATCGATCTATTCCTATCTATGTTCCTTCTGTTTGAAAAAAAGATGGATTTCAAAAAATTGATCGTTATTTTGATTGTTAAATAATCATCTCTCTTTTATCCTTCTTTGATTATCGTTTTTAAAGAGAAGAAAACATACTACATATGTTTCAAGCAGGTTGTGCTTATAAGATCCGACCCAACTACTAAATATATAATGTTTCCATATCGACTTCAAGAAAAGCAATTTGGAGATTTGTAAACCACATTTAGGCATTAATCCATTTCATTAACTTCGAAAGAAAAAGGAAAAAGGAAAAAGGAGAAAGAAAAAGAACGAAAAAACCAAATAAATAAGCTGTGGATTTCTAAGACAAGAAAAAGAACGAAAAAACCAAATAAGCTGTGGATTTCAAAGACAACCAAAACAATAATTTCTTGCAAAAAAATCCAAGAAACAACATCTAATTCTAATTCCATCATTGTTTCCTGTTAAAAAAAGAAAAAACCCAAAACTCAATATAAAATTAAAACACAAATTTCATACATAATGTGACGTTATAACGATATCAAAATAGAATATGGGAAAATAGCTCATCAGCCCCTTGAAGTTGCTTCCTTCAACTCATCAAGTGATGCTGGAAATAGCTCTATATAACGACTGCCAAGAGTCATCCTATCCTTAGCTAGTGCTGCTTTTGCTTCGTCTACATTTGCGAATTCAACAAAAGCTTCTCCGGTTGGCCTCCCATCAAAATTATAGGTAATATAAATCGAGTCTTTTGACAAGATAGCATTCTTAAAGAAATCTATTATGTCAGTCTTGCCAGCTGAAAACGGCAATCCCCTCATTCGTAATACAGTTGTAGGTTCACCCATGTCCTTCCCTTCGAAGGATTTTGTCAATAACCTGAACAAAAAAGGTTGTAAGCATTTTTATTAATTTCTTCTCGTATTGTGACTTCTTGTATACTTGCATCACAAAAGTACATACCATTGTGAATAAATAGCAACTCTTTTCAATATGACTGGGCAAAAGCAAAACTGTCACTTCATTGAAATAATAGTAAATACTTCAGCATAAAAACATTGGTATGATCCATACCAATGCAAAAGGCACCTCACATAGAGCCTTCGGCATATGATCATAAAGAAATGTCAACTGCAGTTTTGGCATTAAAAATATAGCAGTGCCAATATAAAATATGCCATAATTCCAATTATTTACCATCATACACATTTCTAATGGAATTCAAAATACAATTGGGCCCAATCTTTTACAAGTCCAGTGAGGCAATCCCAATTTTTCAAGATCCTCGCTAGTCCCTAAAACATCTACCTCACCTCATGAAGTAAGAACAAACAAATAACAGAATGCTCTACCCAGCAACCATTATCTTGAAGACAAAATGATTGTCTTGAAAATTGCATTAACTTCCTGAATCCTGAAGAGCAAATACTAAATGGATTTAGCATTTACTGAACTTTTTACCTCAGATTGGGAAATGGTTTTTCATGAGTCGTTGGCTGTTGCACTGCATCACAAATCTACCGGTTTTGAAAGAACACCTCTAATCTCTTCTCCTAAAAGCTAAGCTCATTGTTGCTGAGTGTTAACATCCTATTGTTCCACCACTAAAGTTTCCACTATCAAAAGAATGAAAATTTTTTATAGAACTTGATTTGACCATGAAACTAAGAAAAGGCTTTTTTTTT